TCATGAGCGACGACTTGCCCGAGCCGGGCTGACCGAGGAGGAGCGTCGTCGTGCTGGGCTTGAAGACACCGGACATCGGGTGCAGCACCTCCTTGCGGATCGTGCGCTTGGAGCTGAAGAGGCCCATAACCGACTTCTTGGCGTGGTTGAACAAAGTTGGAAGCTCGTGGCCGTCCTTGGTGGCGACGGCGACGTCGGCCGAGATGGCGAGGTCCTGGAAGCGGATCTCCATCTGCGGCATGGCCTTGCCCATGGACGCTTCGAGCTGCGCGGCAAGCGACGCATGGAAGGCGTCCGAGCCGTCCTGGAGAAAGGCGTCGGCGGATTGAGGCGCAGGTGGCATGGCGGGATGGGTGGTCGAGCCAGCAAAAGCGATAATGAGTCTTGCTTACCAGTGCACCACCACAGACAGATACCTGTGTACGTAGTAGCATCGTCACCTGAAGCAAGCAGATGAGTTGTACTCCTGAGGTACGCGAGCGATGATGCAAAGCGTCCGATTCATCAACGATTGGGCTGATGAGTAATTTGAGCGCGATTTCAAAACAGCTTTTGCGGTCGTTACGAAAAGGGGGTGCTGTCCCACCACGTGATACTTGCTTTTTGTATGGTGGTGGGCGCGGACACGACCCCTTTTCGTGCAAATCAAACGCCAATGATCAATGCAGACAGTCCAGTGACGCGAAGCTAGATCGCACACCACCATCGCAGTCTTGAGCAAAGATGCATCCGGTGCGCTGGGCCCTACATAGTTTATAGCTCCTAAACGATATTGTTTACAACTCCTAAACGATAGTGTAATGCGCCACAGCCGCATTCTACTCGCACGCCGACGTACGTATTCGCTGACTCGTGGAAGCCTTTGGCCGGTCATGGACAAGATATTCGTTCGATGTCTCGGCATCGCAGAACATCTCTGTCGCAACCCGACTTTGCTCTTTGGTTTGAAACTACAAACTGCAATGTGAGGTTGTAGCGCCCGAGAAGGTTGTGGCTTCTAGACAAGCAGCGCGCCAAAGTCGAGGACGCACATCGCAACCCAGCACAACACAAGTCATCGCGCTGGGTCGATGCCTGTCGGGAACGGCCGCATTTTTCGCGCCCGCGCCTGTCTTGAGTGTCACTTGACCGGCATGTGGGACATGCGCGACATGGTGGAGCTGGTAGAGCTGGTGATTGCAAGGTTCCCTGAAGTTTCCCGCTGCATACGCCACGAGAGCTCTCGTGGTTTTGCTCTTGGCACACGAACTATTATATCTTGCACTAGACGCCATAGACTCGGTGGACAAAGCCAATCGTGGAAGGTGCCGTTTGAAGAACAGCTCGTTCCGCTTGAGCAACAAGCGTCGCGCCCAGTCCCACCCATACTGCGGTGGCCAACTGTCCTCTCACGCCCTCGGTGTAATGCCATCTGTCGCTTGCTGTTGACCACAAAAGTGTGTGCAACAGCGCGAATGAGGCCATCCGAACCGATTTTCGCATAGGCAACAGCCAATCACGTGCGGCGCTTGGAGTGTCCACGTGAGCACTTTCACCGTGTAAAATGTGTTTTACACTTATTTATTACCGTGTTGTCTTTTTATATAGTGTTTTGTATCCAGCCTGTGGTGGGGAATACAGCTTCAACGTGTTGTGTGTGAGAAATAGCGTCGCGGACGCTTACAAAAAGCAGGATTGCATTGCGCGATACGAAATGCTACACGATGGGGCAATCATCGCCGACCGAAGCCGGAGCCGAATTCCCAGGAACGAGAACGCGAGGCACGAGAGGCACGGTGGATGACGGCACCGTCGTCGACGATACAGTGGACCCCACAGGCAAGACCGCGAGACCGTCCAAGGCGGATTTGAAATAACCCGCGAACAAGCATCTCAAAAGACCGTCGATTTCGAATATGTGTTTCGCTTTTGAACAAGTCTGGACGTATCAAGAACCGTTTGCACCGTACTACGTGGCAGCCTCGAACGTCGATCTGCTCGTGGTGGTATGCGCAGTCGTTGCCGAAACATCGAGTGCGTTGGCTGCAAAGATCATTGGATCTTGTACAAATCAAGTGCGTTGTGGGGCCGTACAGTGCCATCCCAATACTCTTCATAGCAGAAAACGGACTGTCCAGGCAGAGTTGCGCACGTTGGAGCGTCGTCTATGCATCAAGCGTCTGTCCAATGCAGCCGTGCTGCAACCGAACGCGCCACGAGGTGCCATAGCCGTGCCAGCGGTGGAATGGAAGGAGGTGTCCGCCGATGCCAGAGTTGTAAAACCCTCTTTTTCAATGCAAATCTCCAAGCAAACGTTGCTTAACGAACGGCTCGGCTCGCAGATTGTTGTTGGAGACTTGACGTTACTCGGCAGGTGAATCGCAAGCAGCTTACTGTCAACGGCAAAACGCGGATCCTCCGATAAAACGTTGCCAACCGATCCAACGATCCATGTTGTTCGAAGCGAGAAAGCAGCAGCATGCAGTCGAGCAGCATTTCAACGCTTCGCACCATGAGCAACCCGGCCGATTCGTACCGACGCTGAAGGTGAGGAATATCACCGGTGGCAGCTTCGATCCCGCGGGGGCCACACCTTTTTTTAATTTGGATTGACGCGCTCGGAAGCGCCATCAAGTTGGACGAGCTATGCAAAGGCGTATAGCGATGCGACTACATGAAGCGCCTTCTCGTGGCCCAACGCCTCGCGGGCCTCGCCCAATACTGGTACACACACACACGTGGCGGGATGCTCCCGAGTCCGAGACGACGTTCGATGCGCTTCACCACCAGCTACAAGCGGCCTTTGGGTGCCGTCGTGAAAGCATCATAGCCGATATGAACAAGCGGCGCAAGTAGCCCGGCGAGTCGTGGAGTGAGTTTGCTGCTGCACGCTATCGTATGGGCGACGGAATGCACATCGGACAAGCGCAGTTTCTCGAGTAAATTTCATCTGCCAGTTACATCCATCTTGCACGCGTGACGTTCATGCTCGCGGCAGACGTCTGGTCGAAAGCATGGTAGACCATGGACGGGACGGTGTGGCCTCCCGCACCAACGCTACCGACCTTGAGGCTGGCGCCGCTCACGACGTACTTACAATATTCCGGCTACCCGACGCTGTCGTACTAAAGTACGCCGACTTCGTCTACCAAGCTCCCGATTCTCCGGGCGTGTCTTGCGCTATCGGCGCGTCTCCCGCGCGGCTCGATGCGCCAGCCAAGGTGTGCAGTGGACGCTCCTCGGTCTCTGGCGCTTTGGC